CAAAGTTTGCTCACATTTCTTATAAAATATCTTATAAGCCACATGTCAAATACAAAGTTAATTCTGATTTCTAAGAACTATAAAAGGCTCCCTGTAGCAACTTAGGTTGAGCTATAAAAAGATAAAAGATTGTTATGAGTGTCCATCATAAAATTCACTAAGTTGTTCATGAGTGTATCCCAAGTTCTAGAGTAGTGCCAGCTATTCTATAGACCCTCAAAAAATCCTATTCAAAAAGTAGTTTAATACAAGCATAAAGCTTGTACATTTAACTAATACTACTACCACTACCACCACTTCTATAGCAAGCCTATTTTTAGTGTCCAAATGGACACCGACATAAACTAAGCATCAATCCTTGAGAAAGAAAATATTTTGTCTTTTCCATACCAATAAAAACATGAGCCATTCTTAGTTCAGCAGAGAAATAAGTGTAGAAACATTATTAAAATGTATATTTATAAAAACAAATGGCATGTTTCTATTAAAATTGGCCAACACAAGGATGTGGAGAAAAAAGAACCCTTGGACACTCTTAGTGAGAGCATAGATTAATCTATCCCCTATGGTATGGAAGTTTCTTAGAACATTAAAAATGTATCTACCATAAAACCCAGCAATTTGACTCCTGAGTAGCTATCCAAAGAACATAAAAACACTACTTTGAAGATATATATGTACTCTTATGTTCACTGCAGTCCTATTTACAATAACTAAATCAGGAAAATAGCCCAAGTACCCAACTATACAAGAGTGGATTAGGGGGAAAAAATTTCGCACACGCATACATACTAACATACACATAATGCATATATACATATACATATAACATGTATATGTCAGTACATCATGGAAAGAAGAAGTAAAACTATCACTATTTGTGGAATATGATATAGAGAGAGAACTCTGAAAACTCCACAGAAGAATTACTCAAAATAATCAGCGAGTTCAGTAAAGTAGCAGCATAAAAAGTTAACACACAAAAATCAGCTTTCCTATACAAAAGCAATCTGAAGAAGAAATCAAAAAAAAACCCTTTAAAATTAAAACAAAAAAATCCCTTTTAAAATTAAAACCAAAAAAATAAAATATTTGGGAATAAACATAAGATGTGAAAAACCTATACAAAGAAAATTTTAAAAAACTATTAAAAGAAATAAAAAAGACACAAAGAAATGGAAAAATATCCCCTGCTTATGGATTGGAAGAATTGGATTGGAAGAATTAGCATTACTAAAATGGCCATCCTACCCAAATCCTGATTCCAATAAAAATATCAATGACATTCTTCAAAGAGATAGAACAAACACTGATGAAACTGATATGGAACCACAGGAAACCAAGAAGAGCTGAAGCTCTACTGGTGAAAACAAAGGAAAATGAAAGTATCACACTCCCAAAGTCACAGGAAACCAAGAAGAGCTGAAGCTCTACTGGTGAAAACAAAGGAAAATGAAAGTATCACACTCCCAAAGTCA